CATGACACATGGAAATTGTGAGAGCTACAATTCAAGATGAGATTTGGGTGAGGACAGAGACAAACCATATCAGAGGGTGTAAAGAAAATATAGCTAAAGTTGAATTTTCAGGTATGTAACAAATAGTATGAGACATAGACCTGTATGAGACTTGGATTTTAAATTCCTCCTTATTTATCAATTTTCATTAAAAACACCTGGGTCTCAGTAGCCTCATCCACAAAATAAAGACAGAAGACTTTCTAAATTTGAAGAATAATTGTTGTATAGTGAAATCAATTCAGGAAGGTCTAGTTATTTTGATTCTGTGAATAAAAATTAATGATTCATGCTGTAGAAAATAATACCTTCTGTGTTGAGATTTCAAAATTTACTAGTACCACTATAGCAAATACGATTTTTTTTTCAGTCTGGAAGAATTATTGAATTATTTTAATGAAATTTTTCTTGTTTCTTTATAGATCACATAGTGAACTTGTTTATATCTTGTATCCAAACTACCATCAATTTTATTTTTTCACTCTTGCTTGTTCCAAACTTTTATTTTCTGACAAAGAACCATCACCTTCAGCTTTCTTTACTTTTTAAAATTAGTACTAGCCTCCTGCCATCTTTTTTTTCCCCAGAGAAACTGCGTTTCCCAAAGAAATAAACTGCTCTAGTGACCGTATAAGCAAAATAAATGAAGAGGGAAGAGGACGAGATGGTGTCCTCTTAGTGATTCCATCTTGCATCTAGTGACCCTCCTTCACAATGCTCAGAAACCACCCACTGATAGCTTGTTTCACAAACTTTGCCAGGATCAATGCCAAGCTTGCTCATCTTCAGTTTGTGTTTTCTACTCTCTTCTGTTTTTTTTTTAATTGAGATAAGGCATTTCTTCATCTCTAGTGTTCACTGATAGAGATACTACAGTCTTATTTGCAAAGTTATTTAAGTGTCCTGGGTTGTAATACATTGGGTTCAAGAGTCTGGGAAATAACTAGGCCAGCTAGGTATCCTTGTTGCAGGTTACCTTTATTGTTGACAGTGGGCATATTCCACAGAATAGGGATATGTTTATCCTTTGAGTGTTGTGGTTGTTCTAAACAAAATTCATCATTCTCTTAGGCTTACATCCCATACATGTGTTCAATCTAATTGAAAACAACTCTTCTATCACCAGAGAAAAGAGTGTGAACACCATTGTGTTTTAGTCATCACCTAGCATGTGATCTTTGCTAATGCCAATTGCTATAGAACCCAAGACTTGGAAACCAAGTAATATAGAAATGGTATCTACTAATTCTACATTCATGAAGCTTCATTTGTTTGCCTCCCAGTGAATACCCTAAGGAGTATAAATGAAGGAGACTTCTGAGCTGAAGCAGCTCTGAACTATAAATGTGATCTTTTGGAAAACCTTTGATAACCCCATCCTACCTCAAATTCATGGTCTAATGGAGTTTCATCATATTCAGCATAATCTACAAAGTTATTATTCTTTTTCTTTGAAAGGTAGTATTGTGGAAAATCTTGTGCAAACCCCGTTTGTTGATGTCTTATATTACCACATGGGACAGAATGTAGCTTGCTTGTTTACTACCTTTTCATAGGGTTACCATTTTTCTAAACTTTCAGTAAAGTTAATTGATTCAATTTACCACACTAATATAAATATATCAAGAATCTAATCACCAAGGGGGAGGACATTAATAATTTATTTATGATTAAAATAAGCATTGGTGAAGTAAAGTCACCTCTTACTTTACCAAAATGCCATTGTTTCCATCCTCTCCTTGAATGCAGTGGCCTTTTGCAGTGATTGATTTGAGCCATTAATGACAAGCCTAAGTAGGTTTTAATTCATCCATCTTCCTTTAGCCCAGACAAAAATACTACTACAAATGAACATCATGTCTGAGTGATTTTTGACAGAAAGAACAACAGAAAGCCTCCTGGCCCATTATATACTTGTTCCTTCCTGTGATAGAGCTCCAAGAAAGGCCTCTGAGCCCATGAACTTGGAACGTCCTAAAATTCTAACTCAGATAATTTGTCAGGGGTGTTACTTGACACTTTGTAATGTTGGTATAGTTTTAGGAGTACCCAGGGCTGTCTTGGGTATTAGTGAAGAATGCCACAGAAACACAAACCTTAAATATAAACACCACGTACAGGTGTTTGTGTGTGTTTCTGCAAGGTGTTCCTGCATATTGATGTGTAAAATGACAAAAATCAGAAAAATTGTGCTGAAGGGATAATGCATTTCTGATCACAGTGCTGTTTTCAAGTCATCCTCATCCTGGCTGTGATTCCTGAAGAAAGCTGTTGACAAATGCATGGTAAATGCACCTGATAGAAATAACTTAAGCATGTCTTGAAAATAAACCTTGTATGACAGATGTACCTGAATGTGTGTTCCAAGCTAGGGAATCTGGGAGTGGCCAAACAGGAGATCCATTCTGTTTTTGTAAGGAACATCTGAGCCCCGGACTCGTCCTCTGGAATACTGGTCATATAGGGCATGAGGGCCTTGATTTTTGCATTGAATGAAGGTTGTCAGGTAGGGACTGATAGAGAAAGGGCGTTCAGTGAAAATGCTATATAAACTGCATGCCTTTGCAAGTGGTTGCGGTTCTTCTGTTCAGCGTGCTGCCACTGGACTCTCTCCCCTGTATGTAAGTCATAAGTAAAACCCCATGTCTTGTTCACTGGCTTTGAATCTCTTCTTTGGCCTCTTGAACCTGGTACCATCCCCACTGGAGTTGATAGCAGTTTAGCACAACAACAAATAGTAATTTTTTTTTTAGCTTATATTTTAAAGAAGATGTGGCTACAAGTGGCAGCTGAGCTGGCATTAGATTCAGTCAGCTTCTCCCAAGCACATTGCACCGAACGCTCCACATTACTGCTTTTCCTTTGATTCTATTGGTGATTCTGTTCTTGTATCTGCAGGAAGGTGTTAATTATCTTCCACTAGTAATTTCTGAGCTTCTGAAAGCAAAAACACCCAAAGCAGATTTTTGAGTAATTTGAGAAACTCCCTCATGAGAGTGGAAATCCAGTGACTTTATTAGCATGGCTAAATTTGTTAGAACAATTCTGTGCAATCTGCTATACTTCTGTGAAGTAAACTTTTTTCCTCCTAATCCTCTTACTCTTATTGTATAAAGGAATAATAATTTTTCTTTTTAAGTTGAATCAATTTGTTCTTAGTCATATAAAGTTGGAACCAAAGTTGAAGTTTAGCCAGAAATTACAAGCTGTTTCTAACCTGTGAAAAGTCAATGTTGACACTCTTGGTACATTTGAATATCATGAAACTACTACAAAGAAAGAGACTGGTTTCTGGATTCATTTTTGGTACGACATTTCTTAAGCTCTTTCTCTATTATCACCCCCTGCCTGGCGTATTCTGAAGTCTCCAAAAAGAGGTCACTTCCAAGAAGTCTGTCTTAAATTTCTTGTCACAGAATATAGCATCCTGCTGATTCAGATAAGGGCTTTGAAAATGTAGTAAATAATTACTATTAAAAATCCCAATGGAAAAAATATTAGTTCTGAACTGTCATATATTAAATATGTACTGACAAGCAATGCAGCTACCTTAAAAATTACATAAATATAAGACTGTTGTATTACCTTTAATTCAGCCTTTTACTTTCCCCGCTTAGAGAAAAGAATCAGTTTGAGGAAATGGAATCACTATTTATTGAAATCTCTATCAGCTGATTCATAGAGGAGTGATTGACCACTACAGTTCTCATATTTATCATAAATCGTTTCTTCAGCCAGGACCAGAAAACTTTCCTGTCTTCCAACCTTCAATTTTTTTTTGTAGAGTGATTGCCACTGTCATTGCTTTAGCTTGATCCCTTCCTGTGTTTTCTCTGGACTTTCATGAGAAGATTGTAAATGGCTCACTGACTTCAGTTCCCCCTTCATTTCACTCCACACCATTCTAGCAGAATGTCCCTCTAGAGCATAACTCTGACCAGGTCACTCTGATGTTCAATATCTATTACCCAGAGAATCTAAGGCAAACATCATAACCTGACTCACAGAGCCTTCTACGATCCAGGCCTATCAGATTGTGATAAATGGTTAATTGTCTTTTCAAGTATATGATATTTCTGCCTAAACACTGGACATTGTTTAGCTACAATCATATCACTTACTTCCACAGTGTATGATTTTATTAGATCCATTGTATCTTTCTGGGATATATATATATATATATATATATATATATATATATATATATGCTGGTAAATGTAAAAAAAAAGTTATTATGTAACTTTTTCAAATTATACCGAAGTCTTGGGCATGAAACGGCATCAACTAGACTTGGCACAGTTGACTCATAGGGCCAGAAATTCTCCATAAGTATGTGTCTGACAAAGTTGAACACTTACACCAACCCAAAGAGATGTATGAGAATATTCAAAGCAGTGTTATTTGTAATACTTTAAGGACAAAGGAATTTCACAGCTACAGATAGAATTTATAGATCCTGAGTTGCTCATAAAAGTAATTTTCTTTCAATAGGAGATGTCTATTAATGGTAAAATGGACATAAATATATCTTGATATAGTTATAAAATGGATTGCTGTACAGCAATAAAACTGGTTAAATTATTGCTCAGGTAACAGTGTGATTGCAATCAGTAAGCACAGCAATGAGTAAAAGAAGCGAGAAATTTAAAAAATATATGTTTTAATTTATATCAAGTTCAAAAATAGGAAGTCACGGTAGAAGTCAAGATTACTGGGTACATTTTGAGGAAGTGAGAGCAGTGATTGGGAGGTAGCAAGAGGGGTTGCTTCTGCGTTGCTTATGGTAATATTCTAATTTTTGCCCTGGGCGATGGTTGCAAAAGAGCTTGTTCATTTTTTCATGAGTCATTGTACTGTTCATTTATATATACTTTTCTAAATCAAGACAATTTTTTAAATCAAACATTTTGTTAACAAACCTATTTATTAAAAAGTGTCCTGATTTCTATCTCCAGGAATCATGTTTTCCCAGGATGGCAAAGATAAACTGGAGTTTCAATCTTGCTGTCTTAACAAGAGTAGAGGGAGAACAAAGAATAAAACGAGAAAATAAAGCTGACTATACTGAAAGAACAGAAGTATGTCCTTAAGAGAAAGTGTCCATCCTCAAAGACTTAAGAGAAATTAAACAGTGGAAATAGGGTATCAAAATGCAGTACAAATTGAAAAAAAGTGGGAATAAAGAAATACATCCAGGATTAAGCTCTCTTAAAGAGGAACCAAGAAAAATCACAAGATAGGAAAACATTTGAGTTTTTATTGATTGGAAACTATGACTTTTTCTCAGAGAAATTTATCAGAGGAGTAGGACGAAGATCATGGAGAGAGGACTGGAATGACTTTCCAGAGAGTAACTTCTAGGAGGTTAATGTAAAATGGTCTGTTAAATCTGCGGACACTTTCCGAGGCCCTGTATTCCCCATAAAAGTAGTTATGCTATATCAAACATAGAATGATTATGCTATAAGACTGTATGGTTATTGATTTGGGAGAAGATAACCTGAAGGGTCAATGTAAGATTCTGAAAGAATATCCAGATGAGTTCAATAGTATGGCAAATGACTCTGCAGGCTATGCCTTGTGGCAACATAACTAAATTTTGTGAAATTCAAGGGAATGCATAGCAGTGATGAGGCTTATCACTCAGCAACCTGGTAGAAGTAGATCAAGTTGGACTAGATCTTGGCTGGACAAGAGAATGACCCTGAGTGAAATTATCTGGCTCTCAAATGACAGCAGATAAAAATCATACAAACAACAGATGCTTTGGTAAGACAGGTATTGGTTTCATAATTCTTACAATATGGGATTTCACAAGATGAAATCTAAATTAATAAACTAGGAAAAAAAACAATGTGTTCACCAGAATGCAAAGGAAGATAGAATAGAGGGCTTTTAAAACTAACAAGTAGCATTGGCATTACTTGTAGAATGCCACAAAAGAGCCAACAAAGAAGATGGCACTGTTATAAACTCAGCTAAAAAGTATGATGATGGTTTTTCAATGGTGGCTGCACATTAGAATCAGCTGGAGAATAAAAAAAATACTGAGACATGGGCCTCTCCACAAACCAATTTTACTGGAATATATGGTGGTGGGGTCCTGGCAATAGCCTCATTGCAGTGCTCCCCAGGTTGATTCTAATGCATATCAGGTGGCAAAACACCTGAGTTTAGATTAGGAGAGAATAATACTTAAGACTCTTCTTAGTGGCAAGTGAAAAACAATTTGCTCTTCACAAGGCACTAGGGGTCACAAACTTCACAGGCATTAGTAAATGTGCAGTCGAATCTTCAGATAAATGTTCTTCTAAGGCTAATTTTCCAGTTGAAAAAAAAAGATATATTGGTGATGGATGGATGGATAGATGGGATATATGCCTATGGGCTCATAGGCATATATGGGAAGCTGACAACACAGGCTTGGAGGTTAATTAAAAATTTCTAGATAAGCTAGATTTGGGAAAGGGTGAAGGCTCTTCAAATAAGGCTTGCTGCCTGGGTTCACTACCAATGTAACATTCTATGCAAGAAGACAAGACTTTCAAATACTACAATCTGAGAAAGGTGCCAAAATCTTAAGAGAGGGTTTTCTTTTAGAAATAAACCCATTATATTGGTGCAAGTATAATTGTGGTTTTTGCGTTGTTGGAATTTGCTGTTTGATTTTGGAATACATCCATAAATAAATGTGGTTATGTTATACATAATTTTAAAGGGCATTTCTCACATTATATTTTACTTTTTGCTAATGACTTATTACTTGGTGTTTATTCTAGACTATGGAGATGATGTTAGACAAAAAGCAAATTCACGAATTGTCTTATCTGAGTTCAAAATGGGACATAAAGCAGGGAAGACAACTTGCAACATCAAAAACATTTGGCCCAGGAACTGCTAATGAATGTACAGTGTGGTGATGGGTCAAGAAGTTTTGCAAAGGAGACAAGAGCCTTGATGACGAGGAGCATAGTGGCCAGCCATCAGAAGTTGACAAAGACCCACTGAAAGCAATCATCGAAGCTGATCCTCTTATGACTATACAAGAAGTTGTCAAACTCAACGTCAGCCATTCTATAGTGGTTTGGGATTTGAAGCAAATAGGAAAGGTGAAACAGCTTGATAACTGGGTGCCCTGTGAGTTGGGTGAAAGTAAAAAAAAATCCTCATTTTAAAGTGTCATCTTCTCTTGTTCTACACAACAATAATGAACCATTTTTTGATTGGATTGTGATTAGTGACAAAAAGTGGATTTTATATGACAACTGGCCATGATCAGCTCAGTGATTAGACTGAGAAAAAGATTCAAAGCACTTCCCAAACCCAAACTTGGTCACTGTTTGGTGATCTGCTGCTGGTCTCATCCACTACAGCTTTCTGAATCCTGGCAAAACTTTTATATATGAGAAGTATGCTCAGCAAATCGATGAGGTGCACCAAATACTGCAATGCTTGCAGCCAGCGCTGGTCAACAGAAAGGGCTCAGTTCTTCTCCACAACGATGCCTGACCACACATGGCACAACCAATGCTTCAAAAGTTGAATGAATTGGGCTACAAAATTTTCCCTCATTCATCATATTCACATGACTTCTTGCCAACTGACTACCACTTCTTCAAGAATCTCAACAATTCTTTTTTGCAGGGAAAATGCTTCCACAACCAGCATGATGCAGAAAGTTGTTTCCAAGAGATTGTCAAACCCTGAAGCACAGATTTTTATGCAGGACTAAACAAACTTATTTCTTTTTGGCAAAAATGTGTTGCTTGTAATGGTTCCTATTGTGATTAATAAAGATGTATTTGAGCCTAGTTATAATGATTTAGAATTCACGGTCTAAAACAGCAATTACTTTTGCACCAACATCATAGCCTCTATGAGTTGGGTGTGATGGTGCATGTTTGTAATCCCAGCTACTTTGGAGGCTAAGGCAGGAGAATTTCTTGAATTTGGGAAGCAGAGGTTTCAGGGAGCTGAGATCACACCACTGCACTACAGCCTGGGTGACAGAGGGAGATTCCATCTCAAAACAAAAACAAAAACATAATAATTAGCCTCTAAAAGAAAAGTTTCTTGCAATTGAAGTTAAGTTCATAGGTCTTGGATTTTAATAATGGGCAGAACAGACTGATGTCTGGCTGTGGCTGAAATAAGGAGCTTGGGGTTTTGTAGATACAATAGCCTCTACTAGGGAAGAGTCCCTCAGTGGATAGCTAGCCAGTAGCTAGCAAGTTTATCTTTGAGCAAGAAAGTAAAAGAACCATTCAGAGATGGGGTCCAGGAGAGAAAAGCTGTTGCTGATCATAAACAAAAGTTTTAGAGGACACATAAGAAAATGTCATGATTCTAAACAGATAAACTATTGGCAATTTAAGTGAGATGATTTTTACAGTGCAGAAGCTCTCCAGGATAAGGGAGGACATTTAGCATCTCTGGTTCCTGCACCAAAATGCCAGTAGAACCACGAATGGGACCTACTGGGAGAATCACTGAGGACTAAGGGCTTCAGTCAGATTAGAGGATCTACATAGCTTAGAGGATAAGATCTGGAAATGAAAATTGCCTAAGAATGTGGGGTGGCTTGCACTCCCAGTGATGGAACTACATTAACTAGGGACATAGCACATGTTGGTATGTGCTATGGTCTTGCAAAAAGAGTAAATGGTCAGATCTAATTACATTCTCCTTTGGGGGATGGTTTCTTAAGCAATTTGCATTGGCGAAGCAGGGAGTTTTATGTGGTAGTAGAGAGGAGGTCTCATTGGGACCACGTGTTAGTCTGTTCTCATACTGCTGTAAGGACATACCTGATACTGGGTAATTTATAAAGGAAAGAGGTATAATTGACTCACAATTCCACAGGACTGGGGAAACCTCAGGAAATTTACAATCATGGCAGAAGGGAAAGCAAACAATGAGAGAGGAAGCAGAGAGGGAAAAGCCCCTTATAAAACCATTAGGTCTCTTGAAAACTCACTATCATGAGAACAACATGGAGGTCCACCCCCATGATTTTCCTCCCAGTGGATCCCTCCCATGGCACGTGGAGATTATGGAAACTACAGTTCAAGATGAGGTTTGGGTGGGCAGAAAGGCAAACCAAATCAGACCATGTGGTACTGTGAGTTCCCTATCATTGTGTGGGCAGTGCCGAGTCAAGGAAACAAAATCTTATGTGGAACACTTGGAGCTTTATGGTTTCTCAGCCAAACAAACATCGTATAGATGATTTCAAGGCTAGGAATATGCCTTAGATTCTGTATGAGGAAGTTGAAGCTATTGGTACCAGAAGGAAATCTAAGCCTAATTTCTTACACCAAGCAATTAAGTAGAAACTGTATGACTATACTCATGGATGCCACAAAGACATCTGATAAAATCTAAACAATTACTTGTTGTTTAAAACTTGAACTGAAAGGAAGAGAAAAACAAGTTTAATTATCTGCACCATGAAGTGAGAAAATAAATGACAATGTTAAGCTATTTCCATAAAAATTAGAAAAAAATTCTTGGATATCCATTTTACCGCTATAGAAAACATTTCAGAAGTGTTAACTAGTGCAATAAAAAATAAAACAATGTAAACATTGGATAGATTTATATCTTTTATATAACAAGAATCCAAAAGGATTTTCCTTAAAACTCCTAAATTTAATTAGAAAAATTGGAAGATGGCTGAATTTTAAAAGCAGCTTGTAAAAATCCATAGAAATTCTTGGATTAGAAGAAAATAATTTAGGCTGGGAATGGTGGCTAATGCCTGTAATCCCAGCACTTTGTGAGGCCCAGGGAGAGAATCATTTGAGTTCGGGAATTTGAGATCAGCCAGAGCAACAGAGTGAGACTATCTCTACAAAAATTTTAAAAATTAGGCATGGTGGCATATGTCTGTAGTCCCAGCTACTAGAGAGACTGAGGTGGGAGGATCACTTGAGTCTGGTAAATTGAGGCTGCAGTGAGCTGTGATTGTACCATTGCACTCCAGCTTGGGTGACAGAATGAGAACCTGTCTAAAAAAAAAAAAAAAGAAAAATATTTAAAAACAGAAGCAGAAAAATATCTCATTTGAAGTAGTGAG